ACAACACTAGTCAACAACAACAACATGGGCTACACTAGTCAACAACAACAACAACATGGGCTACACTAGTCAACAACAACAACAACAACACTGGTCAACAACAACAACAACAACATGGGCTACACAGTCAACAACAACAACAACACACTAGTCAACAACAACATGGGCTACACTAGTCAACAACAACAACATGGGCTACACTAGTCAACAACAACAACAACAACACTAGTCAACAACAACATGGGCAACACATGGGCAACACTACAACAACAACAACAACATGGGCTACACTAGTCAACAACAACAACACACAAACAACAACAACAACATGGGCTACACTAGTCAACAACAACAACAACAACAACAACAACAACAACAACATGGGCTACACTGGGCTACACTAACAACAACAACACAACAACAACAACAACACTAGTCAACAACAACTACACTAGTCAACAACAACAACAACACTAGTCAACAACAACAACAACAACATGGGCTACACTAGTCAACAACAACAACAACAACAACATGGGCTACACTAGTCAACAACAACAACAACACAACAACTACACTAGTCAACAACAACAACAACAACAACATGGGCTACACTAGTCAACAACAACAACAACAACAACAACAACAACAACAACACTACAACAACAACAACAACAACATGGGCTACACTAGTCAACAACAACAACAACAACAACAACAACTACACTAGGGCAACAACAACAACAACAACAACATGGGCTACACTAGTCAACAACAACAACAACAACAACAACAACATGGGCTACACTAGTCAACAACAACAACAAACATGGGCTACACTAGTCAACAACAACAACAACAACAACATGGGCTACACTAGTCAACAACAACAACAACAACATGGGCTACACAACAACAACAACAACAACAACATGGGCTACACTAGTCAACAACAACAACAACATGGGCTACACTAGTCAACAACAACATGGGCTACACTAGTCAACAACAACAACAACATGGGCTACACTAGTCAACAACAACAACAACATGGGCTACACTAGGCTACACTAGTCAACAACAACAACAACTAGTCATGGGCTACACTAGTCAACAACAACAACAACATGGGCTACACTAGTCAACAACAACAACAACAACAACAACAACAACATGGGCTACACTAGTCAACAACAACAACAACATGGGCTACACTAGTCAACAACAACAACAACAACAACATGGGCTACACTAGTCAACAACAACAACAACAACAACACTGGGCAACACAACAACAACATGGGCTACACTAGTCAACAACAACAACAACATGGGCTACACTAGTCAACAACAACAACAACAACAACATGGGCTACACTAGTCAACAACAACAACAACACTGGGCTACACTAGTCAACAACAACAACAACATGGGCTACACTAGTCAACAACAACAACAACAACACACTGGGCTACACTAGTCAACAACAACAACAACATGGGCTACACTAGTCAACAACAACAACAAACATGGGCTACACTAGTCAACAACAACAACAACATGGGCTACACTAGTCAACAACAACAACAACAACATGGGCTACACTAGTCAACAACAACAACAACATGGGCTACACTAGTCAACAACAACAACAACATGGGCTACACTAGTCAACAACAACAACAACAACATGGGCTACACTAGTCAACAACAACAACAACATGGGCTACACTAGTCAACAACAACAACAACAACATGGGCTACACTAGTCAACAACAACAACAACAACAACAACAACAACAACAACAACAACAACATGGGCTACACCAGTCAACAACAACAACAACATGGGCTACACTAGTCAACAACAACAACAACATGGGCTACACTAGTCAACAACAACAACAACAACATGGGCTACACTAGTCAACAACAACAAACAACAACATGGGCTACACTAGTTAACAACAACAACAACAACAACAACAACAACAACAACAACAACAACAACAACAACACATGGGCTACACTAGTCAACAACAACAACAACTACAACAACATGGGCTACAACAACAACAACAACAACATGGGCTACACAAGTCAACAACAACAACATGGGCTACACTAGTCAACAACAACAACAACAACATGGGCTACACTAGTCAACAACAACAACAACAACAACTACACAACAACAACAACAACAACAACAACAACAACAACAACAACAACAACAACAACAACAACAACATGGGCTACACTAGTCAACAACAACAACAACATGGGCTACACTAGTCAACAACAACAACAACAACAACATGGGCTACACTAGTCAACAACAACAACAACATGGGCTACACTAGTCAACAACAACAACAACAACAACAACAACAACATGGGCTACACTAGTCAACAACAACAACAACAACATGGGCTACACTAGTCAACAACAACAACAACAACAACAACAACAACAACAACAACAACAACAACAACAACAACAACATGGGCTACACTAGTCAACAACAACAACAACAACAACATGGGCTACACTAGTCAACAACAACAACAACATGGGCTACACTAGTCAACAACAACAACAACATGGGCTACACTAGTCAACAACAACAACAACATGGGCTACACTAGTCAACAACAACAACAACAACAACATGGGCTACACTAGTCAACAACAACAACAACAACATGGGCTACACTAGTCAACAACAACAACAACAACAACATGGGCTACACTAGTCAACAACAACAACAACATGGGCTACACTAGTCAACAACAACAACAACATGGGCTACACTAGTCAACAACAACAACAACATGGGCTACACTAGTCAACAACAACAACAACATGGGCTACACTAGTCAACAACAACAACAACAACAACATGGGCTACACTAGTCAACAACAACAACAACAACATGGGCTACACTAGTCAACAACAACAACAACAACATGGGCTACACTAGTCAACAACAACAACAACAACAACAACAACAACAACAACATGGGCTACACTAGTCAACAACAACAACAACAACAACATGGGCTACACTAGTCAACAACAACAACAACAACATGGGCTACACTAGTCAACACACAACAACATGGGCTACACTGGGCTACATAGACAACAACAACAACAACAACAACATGGGCTACACTAGTCAACAACAACAACAACATGGGCTACACTAGTCAACAACAACAACAACAACAACATGGGCTACACTAGTCAACAACAACAACAACATGGGCTACACTAGTCAACAACAACAACAACAACATGGGCTACACTAGTCAACAACAACAACAACAACAACATGGGCTACACTAGTCAACAACAACAACAACATGGGCTACACTAGTCAACAACATAGACAACATGGGCTACACTAGTCAACAACAACAACAACAACAACATGGGCTACACTAGTCAACAACAACAACAACATGGGCTACACTAGTCAACAACAACAACAACATGGGCTACACTAGTCAACAACAACAACAACAACAACAACAACATGGGCTACACTAGTCAACAACAACAACAACATGGGCTACACTAGTCAACAACAACAACAACAACAACATGGGCTACACTAGTCAACAACAACAACAACAACAACATGGGCTACACTAGTCAACAACAACAACAACAACAACACTAGTCAACAACAACAACATGGGCTACACTAGTCAACAACAACAACAACAACATGGGCTACACTAGTCAACAACAACAACATGGGCTACACTAGTCAACAACAACAACAACAACATGGGCTACACTAGTCAACAACAACAACAACAACAACAACATGGGCTACACTAGTCAACAACAACAACAACAACATGGGCTACACTAGTCAACAACAACAACAACAACAACATGGGCTACACTAGTCAACAACAACAACAACATGGGCTACACTAGTCAACAACAACAACAACAACAACATGGGCTACACCAGTCAACAACAACAACAACATGGGCTACACTAGTCAACAACAACAACAACAACAACAACAACATGGGCTACACTAGTCAACAACAACAACAACAACAACAACAACATGGGCTACACTAGTCAACAACAACAACAACAACAACAACAACAACAACAACATGGGCTACACTAGTCAACAACAACAACAACATGGGCTACACTAGTCAACAACAACAACAACAACAACATGGGCTACAGGGCTACACTAGTCAACAACAACAACATGGGCTACACTAGTCAACAACAACAACAACAACATGGGCTACACTAGTCAACAACAACAACAACAACAACATGGGCTACACTAGTCAACAACAACAACAACAACATGGGCTACACTAGTCAACAACAACAACAACAACAACATGGGCTACACTAGTCAACAACAACAACAACATGGGCTACACTAGTCAACAACAACAACAACAACAACATGGGCTACACCAGTCAACAACAACAACAACAACAAGGGCTACACTAGTCAACAACAACAACAACAACAACAACAACATGGGCTACACTAGTCAACAACAACAACAACAACAACATGGGCTACACTAGTCAACAACAACAACAACATGGGCTACACTAGTCAACAACAACAACAACAACAACATGGGCTACACTAGTCAACAACAACAACAACATGGGCTACACCAGTCAACAACAACAGCAACAACATGGGCTACACTAGTCAACAACATAGACAACAACAACAGCAACAACAACGATGACAATTCAACAATACACATAATAACATCACAAAATCATTAAAGCATACTCATGCAAGGAAAAATCTTCAGTGAAAACAAAAAATCCTTCAACAGTACACTTATAAACAACAAATAATTGAAGGTGGAGAAAGACGGAGCGCACGAGGCTACACGAGGCTACACGAGGCTACACGAGGCTACACGAGGCTACACGAGGCTGCACGAGGCTACACGAGGCTAGAGGAACCCAACTCACAACTCTGAATGAGCATCTCACACTTCTGCTCATCGTGAGGGTAGTGGTGGAAGTCGAAGTGGCACATGAGGGTGATGCTCATCCTGGCGTCCCGGGAGTGTGAGGTGTGAGTGAGAGAGACAAGGTTATAGCATTCTCTGACCACCACCGGCTAATGTGACGTTATGAATATATATTCAGAAAAGGTGTGTTTCTGCAAGAGGACTGCAAGGTCAGGTATATTGTGCTGGACACCGCAGGTGCTTTGGAGCACTTCTGACACGACAGACTATTGGCTAAGTGTCAGTCTTAACCAAGAGATCGTAGCCCTCAGGTAAATTCAGCTACAGCACTTTATATTGTAGGTTCCGTTCTACTTCCACCCAGACTTTACTAAGGGACTCTAAGCGTATAATGGTACATAGTGTGAAGGCCACCCACTTGGTGTCATTGTGCTACAGAGTAGTGTGGTTGACCCTGTGTTGTGGTATGAACTACTTCCAACTATCTCCTATGACCCTGATATTGAAGATCAGCATTGTTCCAAATGGATAACAAAAACTGGAACTCAACTCAGAATGTATCAGGTTCATGATTTGTACCAAGAGAAACAACAACGGCACTTTCCTGCACCGTGGGAGGTTACACCCTTTCCAGTTTTAATCCCTCCCTTTCCACCCAAGAAGCAACTTAGAGATCAGCCCAAGCTTCGTCTTGAGGCAAAGCTCAACGCCTTAAGCCATATTGATGCTCTGTCCACATATAGAGCATATATGTGGACAGAGATAATATATATATATATATATATATATATATATATATATATATATATATATATATATATATATATATATATATATATATATATATATATATATATATATATATATATATTTTTGGTAGCAGTCTTTCCTGTAGACATATATTATTAAATATGACCGAAAAAGTAAGATTAATTATTCTAACAAGAATTTTCTCTGTTTTTTATATTTCTTTTCACTGTTGATGGTAACAAAAATCAATTCTCCAAAATTCATTTTTATTTCAAGTCTGACGCGACACTTGAACGCGTTTCGTAAAACTTATTACATTTTCAAAGACTTTAGTTTACACACACACACAATTATAACTGAACAGAGTTCAAACAGCTTCGATTTTATACCTGCATTTGGGTAAGGTGATATGTTACAACAGTTTTCGATGAGGTGAAAACAAACTTTCAACACAAGACAGAACACGAAACAATGGGTATAATATTTTGTAAGTTAAAGGGAAGAATGGAAGTAACTGCAAAGGGCCTATTGGCCCATATTTCTCGATGCTTCTATATTGGTGCAGAGTCTTGAAGTGGGTAGAATATAGTTGTGCATTAATTGGCTGTTGATTGCTGGTGTCGACTTCTTAATGTGTAGTGCCTTGCAGATATCAAGCCGCCTGCTATCGCTGTATCTATTAATGATTTCTGTGTTTTTTGTTAAGACTTCTCTGGTGATGGTCTGGTTGTGGGAAGAGATTATATGTTCCTTAATGGAGCCCTGTTGCTTATGCATCGTTAATCGCCTGGAAAGAGATGTTGTTGTCTTGCCTATATACTGAATTCTTTGAGGCTTACAGTCCCCAAGTGGGCATTTGAAGGCATAGACGACATTGGTCTCTTTTAAAGCGTTCTGCTTTGTGTCTGGAGAGTTTCTAATGAGTAGGTTGGCCGTTTTCTTGGTTTTATAGTAGATCGTCAATTGTATCTTCTGATTTTTGTCTGTAGGGATAACGTTTCTATTAACAATATCTTTCAGGACCCTTTCCTCCGTTTTATGAGCTGTGGAAAAGAAGTTCCTGTAAAATAGTCTAATAGGGGGTATAGGTGTTGTGTTAGTTGTCTCTTCAGAGGTTGCATGGCGTTTCACCTTCCTTCTTATGATGTCTTCAACGAAACCATTGGAGAAGCCGTTGTTGACTAGGACCTGCCTTACCCTACAGAGTTCTTCATCGATTTGCTTCTATCCTGAGCTGTGGCTGAGAGGACGGTCGACATAAGCGTTAACAACACTCCTCTTGTACCTGTCTGGGCAGTCACTGTTGGCATTGAGGCACATTCCTATGTTTGTTTCCTTAGTGTAGACTGCAGTGTGGAAACCTCCGCTCTTTTCCATGACTGTTACATCTAGAAAGGGCAGCTTCCCATCCTTCTCCATCTCGTAAGTGAAACACAACACAGAATTCCGCTCAAATGCCTCATTCAGCTCCTGCAGATGTCTGACATCAGGTACCTGTGTAAAAATGTCGTCAACATACCTGCAGTATATGGCCGGTTTCAAGTTCATGTCGACTAAGACCTTTTGTTCGATGGTACCCATGTAGAAGTTTGCAAACAGGACACCTAGGGGAGAACCCATGGCGACCCCATCTACTTGTTTATACATGTGCCCATCCGGGCTCAAGAAGGGTGCCTTTTTAGTACAAGCTTGGAGTAGTTTCCTTAGAATGTTTTCTGGTATGTCAAGAGGAGTACAGGCCGGATCATGATACACTCTGTACGCTATCATCCCGATTGTTTCATCCATCCCGCTATCATCCCGATTGTTGGATGAAACAATCGGGATGATAAAGGACAGAGTGTATCGTGATCCGGCCTGTACTCCTCTTGACATACCAGAAAACATTCTAAGGAAACTACTCCAAGCTTGTACTAAAGAGGCACCCTTCTTGAGCCCGGATGGGCACATGTATAAACAAGTAGATGGGGTCGCCATGGGTTCTCCCCTAGGTGTCCTGTTTGCAAACTTCTACATGGGTACCATCGAACAAAAGGTCTTAGTCGACATGAACTTGAAACCGGCCATATACTGCAGGTATGTTGACGACATTTTTACACAGGTACCTGATGTCAGTCATCTGCAGGAGCTGAATGAGGCATTTGTGCGGAATTCTGTGTTGTGTTTCACTTACGAGATGGAGAAGGATGGGAAGCTGCCCTTTCTAGATGTAACAGTCATGGAAAAGAGCGGAGGTTTCCACACTGCAGTCTACACTAAGGAAACAAACATAGGAATGTGCCTCAATGCCAACAGTGACTGCCCAGACAGGCACAAGAGGAGTGTCGTTAACGCTTATGTCGACCGTGCTCTCAGCCACAGCTCAGGATGGAAGCAAGTCGATGAAGAACTCTGTAGGGTAAGGCAGGTCCTAGTCAACAACGGCTTCTCCAATGGTTTCGTTGAAGACATCATAAGAAGGAAGGTGAAACGCCATGCAACCTTTGAAGAGACAACTAACACAACACCTGTACCCCCTATTGGACTATTTTACAGGAACTTTTTTTCCACAGCTCATAAAATGGAGGAAAGGGTTCTGAAAGATATTGTTAATAGAAACGTTATCCCTACAGACAAAAATCAGAAGATACAATTGATGATCTACTATAAAACCAAGAAAACGGCCAACCTATTCATGAAAAACTCTCCAGACACAAAGCAGAATGCTTTAAAAGAGACCAATGTCGTCTATGCCTTCAAATGCCCACTTGGGGACTGTAAGCCTCAAAAAATTCAGTATATAGGCAAGACAACAACATCTCTTTCCAGGCGATTAACGATGCATAAGCAACAGGGCTCCATTAAGGAACATATAATCTCTTCCCACAACCAGACCATCACTAGAGAAGTCTTAACAAAAAACACGGAAATCATCGATAGATACAGCGATAGCAGGCGGCTTGATATCTACGAGGTACTACACATTAAGAAGTCGACACCAGCAATCAACAGCCAATTAATGCACAACTATATTCTACCCACTTCAAGACTCTGCACCAATATAGAAGCATCAAGAAATATGGGCCAATAGGCCCTTTGCAGTTACTTCCATTCTTCCCTTTAACTTACAAAATATTATACCCATTGTTTCGTGTTCTGTCTTGTGTTGAAAGTTTGTTTTCACCTCATCCAAAACTGTTGTAACATCACCTCACCCAAATGTAGGTATAAAATCGAAGCTGTTTAAACTCTGTTCAGTTATAGTTGTGTGTAGGTAAACTAAAGTCTTTGAAAATTATTATAGTGTGGGTTGGTTGGTGTTGTCGTCGTTGATCCTTCTCTACGGACAACCCAACCCACAACTCGGTAGAGTGCTTATACCAGGAGATCACCCTTGGCGCTTCTGGCTCTTGGAGAGGGGCTCAACGTCACACGTTTAGGGGATGCGGCTCCAACACTTAGCCTCGTTGTCACGTGCACACACCCACTCGAGCCGCTGTGACTCCCCACTCTCTCCTTAGGTGATATGATCTCCTCAATCCCCTTTTTGACTTATTAGTATTACCTTTTACCCTGTCCACAGCAGTGGTTCTTGGTTCTTTCTCTCTCTCTCTCCTTCTTTACTACCTCCTGGGAAGCCTCACTAGGACAAGGGCAAACACCAGCAAATTGGGATACATTTACTGGACAAAGCACATACACGATACATACACACATATAATAATAATGAATCCTATACTCTATAATATCACAATCAGGTTGCACTCCAACACCATCAGAACTCTATTATCAGCTTATCAAGTGGTATCCTATCTCCTGGTTCACCACTTGATACTATCAACCTCCTAAAGTTGATCAAGTCTACATACGCTGTTGCACTATCAGCAAGATAATGTATATATAGAAAATCAGCATTTGAATGCAATAACATATATCAGTATAAATGTTCATTGATACACAACAATGATTAATCGATCAATATCAGTCCTAGAACGCATACATCTGTAGGTAATCCAGCCTACGACTGTAACTCTAAACTTCAGTATAAAAAACTCCTTGACATAAGAATGCCAACAGTCACTCACCTCTCACTGCGTCTTGCACGCTAATGACAACCAAACACTATCAACTCCCTATAAGTAATCCACCAGAACTTCCCCTTCCACCTCTGGAAGTTCACTACCCTAATATCTTTAGGTTCTTCCGGGCTTCACTACCAGGATCCTCTGCAGCTCCTCCAGGCTGCTATCATGAAGTTTCCTTGAGCAACTACGGTGCTTCACCCTTCTGCTAGGTTCCTCCACAGCTCTCTTGGCTGCTACACCACCTCTACAGAAGCACGTGACACTCCT